AGCCAGACTTGAAAGCAGCAATTGTAGGTTGTATTGTCTGCTCATTTATGTTCATAGGTGTTTGCATGACTATGGCCACTTACAGACTCTCTTCATTTCACATACTGTTTTCAAGGCCTTTACAAGGTTGGAAGTCATGAATGGCAACGTATTGTTCATGAATGGCCATTGCTTTGTGCATATCTAGGAGGCTTTCAAGGTTAATAGAGCTAGAGCTCACAGAGGTGGGCTCCTCAATAAGAGAACAATCAAGCAAATTTCTTCACATGCAAATTTCTGCATTTTAGACTTATTAAGAGGTCCATTTAGCCTAGTATTATTCAAGTCTAAAGACATTTAACTTTGTATCCCAAAACACTTTAATTGATTGAAAAAAAGGATGTATTTTTATTTATGAGCCTTTCCTTTTATATTTAAATTCACTCTTATTCATAAACATTTTCCCTCTATATTTAAATTCTATAGATCATCTCTCAAGTTGTTCTATTTAATTGTTTATAACCTAGATAATTTCAAAGACAAATGATCACATGTCCTTAAGGAGTTATCTTGCATTTAGCATTGACTTCACACTTTCAACAATCAAAATTGTCTATGGAATTTCATTTAATTACCAATTTATGCTTACCATCATTTATGGGCTGCAGTGTTGTGGGTCCTTGGAGGAGGCGAAAGGTGAGGCAAGTTGTGTAGTGGTGGCCACCAAGAGAGTAGGTTCTTGCGCTTGACAAAGTGAGGGCTTCTATGGCTAATGCATCACTAGCTAATGCCTTTGCTTCTGGAATTGATCAACACTTTGGCATTTCTCCAGAGCTCAATGACTATGAAGTTATTTTAGGTGCTATTTTTGTAATTTAGCAATGAACATCTGTAACTTTTGATTCGTGCTAGAAATTCCTTAGAAAGATTAAAGTGTGGGAATGAGAGCTCTTGGAAGTGAACAACCCTCAATAATGAAAACAAAGAGTGTTGGTAGTGGAAGGCCAACCACCTGCCAGATTCTGCAACGTATAAATGTGGTGACAAGTGTTTTGTGAGATTATAAGGATTGAAAGAAAGGATCAAAAGCATACATAGTTTGTAGGGCTTGCCTTCACTGACACTTACCGACATGCCACGGACTGCATTTGTAGGGCTTGACTTCACCAAAGTGGGCTTTAAATTGACTGTTAGCATTGAAAGAGCCACTTTGTACTCACAATTTTCCGATCTGCTGACTTGGAAACCAAAATCCATAGACTCAGAGTCCATTCCAAGAAGAAGCACGTGGACCTGATAATTATTCAGGTCTAATTCTGCTCGGTTTTATTTTGCTAATGCTGAAACTATTCCTGAGCCACAGTCAGTTGATGAAGCTGCTGACTTTCCTAAGCGGCCTGTGCACAAGCTGAAAAAGTGGACGACTAGAATGGGAATGTCCAATAATAGTGCATCCAGAAGTATCACTTTGAGCTCGCTGCTGATCCTTACAACATGGTGGGCAGTAGCAGATGTTCCAGCGCTCCCACCACCACCACTTATAAATCTGCCTCCCCCACCTATTCCACCCCAGGATGATGGCGATTGGAGGAAATATGTCTTCAAGCACATGCCTTTATGCCTCTCCATAAGGACATGCCTTCATGTCCTCTCCATCTGGGACAGAAGAGTAAGTGTATCAGACTTGTGAATGGTACACCATGCTTGCGATCTCCAGCTATCAATCACTAGAGATTGTTGCATGTTCTCAGTCATGGCGGGCAGCAACAGTGGCACCATTGTGGAGCAAGAGTCTTATCTGTGTCTACAAAGGAGAATTCCACACATGTGAATTTCATGTTTATGCGAGACAATTGTGATGTTATTGTTACAGGCACTGAGTGCTGCTAGATTGGAAAATTCAAAACAAGCAAGTTATATTCGTCTTATTCATTGTGCCAAGAGTTCTAGTGAAGGCAAGCATCATCACTATCCTTTTCCAAAGCATGCAGATGAGCACTATTTTGTCACTTTTCTTGCAAGGTTGATGTTTATCTCATGAAGCACAAAGAGCAAAGTTTTCCAGCACTTTAAGGATTTTTGTGCTAAAGTTAAGAAGCAAACTGGTCTGCACACTTTGGAAAAGGATAGCAATGATGTTTGCCTTCACTGGAAGTCTTGGCAGAATCAAGAAAAAGAATATACTACTCACCAAGATCAATCCCGATTATGGACAACTCCGCTTGTTTTGAATTTTCCAATCAGGAAGTTCAGCTGATCCGACAGCAGGTTCTGGCTCAGTGCCTGCAACAATAGCTCACATAGACATGACCTTCAACAGTGCTGCCCACCCTTGTACACAACGGCACCACTGCTGCTACTCGCAATGTGACTGCAAACACGCAACAATCACCAGCGATTGATATGGTGCCGGAGATTGCAGGAAGCACAGTGTACCATTCATGGCTCTGATTACTCATCTTGATGTGATCAACCCTAGGTACACACTAACTGCCTAGGAACTGAACCTGCCTCCATGGCATAGAGCCAGTGACTCATACACTCGTAGAAGAGCTTCCGAACTGTGTTAGATTGGACAGCAGCCTCTTTTTTGAGAGCGAGGATGCATTTGTCGTGTCCATGGTGGAGAAACTTGATGGCTTCCAAGGCGATCAGGGAACTCAGAAAAACTTTGATCAATCAATTTCTAACAGTATATATATCCGAGAGTAGCATATAGGATTCCGAGCGACGAAAGAGACACAATGCAGTGCTACTGGATAGATTTGCAAGCCATGTTGCCTCTGGGGTTTAAACTTTGGAAGCACTCAGCAAAGCTGTCCAGCACGAGGCCGTGTTCTTCGTATCCATCAGAAATGAAGATCTCACCACCTCAATGTCGCTGCCTAGAAAGAAATCTTCCACCTCTTGGAGCTGCCCCGAGCGAGACAAGAGATCGAGCATACACATGTAATGTTCTTTCACGTGCTTGATCGACGCAAAATGGTAACATCCATCACGGATAATCCCTCCGTGGCTATAGCAAAATCACAAAAGCAGGTAAAACTCCATCCAGTGACATCTCGAGGTAAAGCTCCAAAGTCAGTTACAAGCAATATATCCCAAGCATGGTCGCTGGAATTGGCGACCTCGATCAGGGCATCCTTGTGTGTGATTGCGGGCGTGGAGCGAGAATCCACAGTGGAGGCTGCGCTGGTCAATACGTACTGCAAGTGTGGCCAGTTAGTTCCAACCAGGGCCATCTTGGACAAAATGTACGAAAGGGATCTTCTCGCTTGACAGCATATGCCCAGTCTTCATGCAGTGCTACGATGGATCTGAGACCGATCACGTCGCATTCGCTGGCGCCTTCCACACGTGCACGAGCATCTCACCCATTGCGACCGGGAAAATCATCCACGAAGGGCTGAGACTCACCGCTGCCGCCAGCGTTGTCAACGCGTTCTACGCGTCCATGATCGAGGTTCCATTTTAAGTCAAATGCTATTTGTATTGAAGGCATACGAGTTACCTACAACGTCGCTCAGTTTCTGTTCTAGAAAGACAAGCTTGCCCCACAACAGAGATGGTCTCAACAGCCCACTCCCGTGTTAGCTCCTCCCGGTCATCGTCATCGGGTGCAAAAACAGGCCGACCTCGGAGCTTCTCGTAAACCATTCTGCATTGCTCCGAGCCCGGAGGTAAGTCCTCGTCCTCGTACACCCTCACTGACGAGCTTCTTTGTCAGTACCTAAAACAAACGATCTCTCTCCAAACCATTCTTGTTCTTGAAACTCTGGTAGAATGTTGCATGTACAAGATCCATGTCAAGCACGACGTCGACGCGAAAAAACAGACCTGGAAACAGCTCCGTAAAGGGCTGGCATCTCATTGCTCTTGCTGAGGTAACTCATGACGAAATCTGTGCACCACAGGTCGCCCATCGACCAGAGCATGCGTTCGGTCCAAACGTTGCGCTCCAGGCCGAAAGAACTGCGGCAGTCTGCTTGTCCATAGCGAGCGGATTGGCAAAGTGCTAGGATGCGCTCTACAAACACGAAGTTCGTAAAATCTACGCATTACGATGGACAGCAAACTTGTCAACGACATGTCCACGCCGTTACATTCTTTGAGGCCCTGCGATCAAGTGTGAGTGAAAACGTGGTTTGCGGTGAATGGAAGAGAGTAAAAGGCTACATACCTGAAAACAAGTCGAGAATTTTAATGCCCTCACTATAGGCGCTAGCGCTGCCGACTTTGGATCTGCAATGCAATGTATAAGAAGTGGTGATCAAGCAGTGCAAACTTGTACATGCCGTGCATTATATATTTGTGAGGAACACGAGCAGTCGCAAGTATATGCTTGGATTAATCCGTGACCTGCAACATGGCGCTTGTTATCATCGAAGCAGATGATCTACCTTCCGTCGCTGGCAGCACGGATGAGAAGGTCCTAAGCTTCGGGGTCTCGAGCGAAGCTGGTGAACGAAGCATTCAAAGAAAAGGTGAAGCGAGACGAAAGGAAAAACTTTAGGCCTCACTCACGCTTCCCTTGGAAACCAATCCGTCCGGCGATGATGTCGTTCACTATATCCTTGTGCCGGATGATCTTGCTAATGCAATGCCGACGCGAGATAAGCGATGACCACGATCAGTCGCAAACACGGGCTTGACCATGCAGCATTCCCGCAGCAGCTCGTACTTTTCTTGCGAGAGGCCTGGCTGCTCCATGAAATCGGCCGCTTCACACAAAGGGCGTAGCTTAGATCGCAGCATCAAGCAAAGAGGGAAGCGAGTCACCTCGGAAAATCCAGTTTTTGGAGACAAACTCCTCGCTTCGATGAAGGAAGAACATGAATTCCTCGGAGGTACCAACAGCAGGTATCCCAATCCCCAGACGTATGGAGTAGCGTTTGCACCAGATGGACATCCCCAAGATCTCCACTGCATGCCGCCATGGTATCAGCGATCACGCATCTCATAAAAGAAGAGCGGGAAATTGCCCTAAATGTGCGTTATTGGAATCGAACGAGGATCAAACCCACCGTTTGCAAACGGTCACTTCTCGATTTAAAAGCCCTTGGGGTTTTGCCGGCGCCAGAAGGATCGCTCGATCGAGCTCGCGGCGCCTCCAAATCCTAGCCAAGAACGGCCCATCCGCCTCGCGGCGCCACTGTAAGCGTCCTGCGAGCTGCATTTTGGATTGTCATTGATCAGATTTCTTGGCAGGATCGCGCCTCCGGAAGCGCTGAGCCAGGGTTTTGTCGCCGGCGCCAGGAGGATCGTCGAGCTCGCGGCTCCTAGTCAAGAACAGGCCGTTCGCCTCGCGGCGCCTCTGTAAGCGTCCTGCGAGCTGCATTTTGGATTGTCTTTGATCAGATTTCTTGGCAGGATCGTGTTCCAGCGCCTCCAGAAGCCCTGGCCAGGGTTTTGTCGCCGGGGCCATCGATTGAGCTCGCTGTGTAAGCGTCCTGGGAGCTTAGATTGTCGTTGATCAGATTTCTTGGCAGGATCGTGTTCCAACGCCTCCAGAAGCTCTGAGCCAGGGTTTTGTCGCCGGCGCCAGGAGAATCGATCGATTGAGCTCGCGGCTCTTCCTCTGTAAGCGTCCTGCGAGCTGCATTTTAGATTGTCATTGATCAGATTTCCTGGCAGGATCGTGTTCCAGCGCTCTTGTCGCTGGCGCCAGGAGAATCGATCAATCGCGCTCGCGGCTCCTCTGTAAGTCCTGCGGCATTTTAGATTGTCATTGATCGTGTTCCAGCGCCTCCAGGAGCGGTCTCAAGGCAGCAGCTGTGGATTCCATCATCTGTGAGTGTTGTTACTTCAATCTTAGAGAGTCTTGCTAGAAATCTAAAGCTTGTTCTCTGCAGTATGTCATGATGAACTTCGTGCCACAGCTTGTGGTGCTCAAGGATGGCTCTGTCGTTGATAACGTGCTGCTCCATGGCAAGGATTCCTTTGTTCTTGGAAGGCATCAGAATTGCGATGTGGTTGCGGGGCATGCGAGCATCAGCCGGCATCACTTGGAAATCCGGATCATTCCTGAAACTCGGCAGCTCGTCCTAAAGGACATGCACTCAGGTAAGCTTTCTATAATCTGAATACAAGGCTGATTGAAAATCTCACAGTTCATGGGACACGACTCAATGGGGAGCCTCTCATCCCTCTCGACCCGGTCATAATGGAGGAAGATGGGAAGTTTGAGGTGGGAGCATCGACGCGAACGTATATGGTCAAGTGGATTCCCGTGGCTCAGGAACAGTCCGATTCTTCCTCCTCTTCGTGTACTCCTGCAAAGTCGACAGCTTCCAGCGTTGCCAAGGGTCTGGACGAGGAGTTCCAGAGCATCTTGCGGCTGGAAAGCAGTAACTCACGTAAACAGGTCAGCTTTGGTTTTTCATTTGCATCATGCAAGAAGCTCTTGTGTATTTTTTCAGGAAAATGCGGATCGCGGAGCAAAGAAGCAGCCAGAAAGGCTTGCCTTTTCGGACATCAATGGAAGAACGGGCTCGCCACCCGCCAGGCCAAAGTCTCCAGCACGTGGAAAGAAGGGAGCGGCTTCGCCTCTGTCAGCGAAGTTCACAGCTCTGCGAATGTCTCCGGCTGGAAAGAAGATCTTCGGAGTCCAGAAGCCGGAACAGTCTCCTTCGACTCTCTGGCTTAGGCGTGGTGTCAACCTAGAGCTGCCAAGCCTTGTCACAAACACACAGGCTTCTGCACCCCCTGAAGACGGTTACGTATCAGACAAGGAAAACATGGCTCCTGCTCTAGTTGCAAAGCCTGAGGTGGATGCATCCAAGTCCGTGGTGTCGAGGAAACCATTCGGGGAGCTCTTTTTTCTTCCGTCACCGAGTGTTCAACGCGACTACAAGCCCGTTTTCCAGCCAGCGCCTTACTCAACGAGCTCCGATGAAGACAGTTTCAAAGACTACTGCGCTCGTCGGCACCGGGTAAGGCCTCTTTCCACGAGCTCTATATCTGCAAGTTTAATATCTGGCTCGTTCTCCAGGTAACAGAGAAGAAGGCTGACGAGGTTAAATGGCATATCATTGTCGATACGAACTGTTTCCTGGACGAAGATGGCTTCAATTCTCTCAAGAAACTGGAAGGTTTGCGAGAGACACGAGTCATCATACCGAAGATAGGTGAGTGAGCGTTCTTTCATGTTTCCTTTCAGTTGTCAGCCACATTCTTGCGGAAAACCTGACTTGATCTGATGGCTGCCAACGGCTGGATCAAATTAATGGGCAAACCATAGCTAAAGGCGATGTTTGATCATGGCTTTGATCAGAATCTGGAACATCATCCTCCATGGAAACATCTCAAACAAAGTATATTTGTGTCAAAATTCCTGAGAGGGAATATAATGGTATGGATGTCTATAGTTGCAGAAAGTTCCCAAGAAGGGCATCTTGTTGTGTTTGCAGCCATGCCCATGTATTGACCACCTTGATCTTCTATTGCAACTCCCAGGGAGTACCAGCTCAGTGGAGTACGATTGCGTGATTCCTATGTCTTGAAGGTATCGATATTGTTCGAGAACAGGTAGACATATTTCAAATATAGATATGTGGTCCCCTTTACATGTTGTTGTTTTCCCTCAAATTCACTTCTCAGATCAATTTCCTGTAGTAGTTTCTTGTCTGGATAAACAATGTTTCCTTTCTTCAATCAGCTTAATATATCTCCAAATGTTTCAAGGATGAAACTTGTTATGAAGGTAGGGAACGGGGTGGTTGGAGGGGGTATGGGGAGTGGGAGCCGGGTCAGAAGTGGACATAGAGTCTTCGCCAGTCAACTATTCCCAACGGGCAAGTCAACCAAGGAGGCCAGGTTAAGCAGCCAACGAATTTAGTTAGCAATCTCCTTGTTACAAACTTACTAATCTGTACCACAAAGGTAAGTGAGTTGTTGAAAGGTGTCAATGTCGCTGGATCACAGCCGGAAGAAGATGCATTTGCCATGAATTTTTCGAAAAGTGCCCAAAATTGCACAATTGATGCTTGTAAGTCCGAGTGGAAATTAACTATCCTGAGACCACTTAGCTTGACGATTTTCCACTTCCATTCTCTCTAGGATAGAAAAGGAAAAAAAAGAAAAGAGAGATTTTCTCTCCTCTTGTCTAGAACTAGGTACGCTAGAAGATCTCTCACTCATACAAGAAGGATATCACATCCTTCACATGGCTGGTATGACTTCCAGATCAACAGTCTACCCTCGTGACCTTCTACCTTCACCCTCACCTGCTTTCCAACTAGAGTACCATCCAGATGTGCCAACTTCAAGGTCACCTGGGTCTCCTCCATTAGAGCAGTGTACACGATCTCAGATTCAAACCCAGATGCAGTTCCACCTGCGATTATTCGATGTTAATCAGTGATTATAACTGAAACACATTTTTTATCTTACCCCCATGGAAGCCAAACTTTATGTCCCAATTATCCATCACTACATATCTGTCAACAGCATCATCTTCCAGTACAAAAAAAGGTTCATAATCGCCATAATGGATGTCGTTCTTCACAGAGGTGAAAAGCTCTTTGAAAGTATGCATCCACAATACACTTAAATTGGACTTATACTTTTTGTGCATTCTTTTTCAATAACAAGTTCTCCACTTTTGTATCCTGTGTCAATTCCTTGACCCACCAGTTCTAAAGGAACCTTCTTGCTTTTAATGGAAACTTTTATGTATTCCAATCTTGAATAAATCCATTCACATGTGGAGTTGTGCTACCTATTTTCCCCTTTCCTACTTTGGGGCATATAAGCCACTGACCATTGAGCAGGTTTGTAATAAGAAGATTGCTAACTAAATTCGCTGGCTGCTTAACCCGGCCTCCTTGGTTGACTTACCCGTTGGGAATAGTTGACCGGGGTGTCTGTTTGACTCTTGACCTAGCATGACGAAGACTCTGCTTCCGCTTCTGACCCTAGTCTGCACTTCTTTCAAGCCGAGCAACTCAAGACCCAAATGCGCCATACTCAGAACCAGGCTATGACTACGGCTCCCACTCCCCATACCCCCTCCAGCCACCCTGTTCCCTGCCTTCATCATTGCCTCAACATTTCATCCTTGAAACATTTGGAAATGCCACAAGATGTTGATTGAAGAAAGGAAACATTGTTTCTCCAGATGATATAAGAAGTGAATGTGAGGGAAAACAACAACATGTAAAGGGGACTACATATCTATATATAAAATATGGGTACGCTAGAAGATCTCTCACTTATACAAGGAAGACCTCACATCCTTCACATGGCTGATATGACTTCTAGATCAACGATCTACCCTCGTGACCTTCTACCTTCACCCTCACCTGCTTTCCAGCTAAAGTACCATCCAGATGCGCCAACTTCAAGGTCACCTGAGTCTCCTCCATTAGAGCAGTGTACACGATCTCAGATTCAAACCCGGATGCAGTTCCATCTGCGATTATTCAACGTTGATCAGTGATTATAACTGAAACACATTTTTTATCTTACCCCCATGGAAGCCAAGCTTTATGTCCCAATTATCCATTGCTGCATGTCTGTTGTCTTCAACAGCATCATCTTCCAGCCCAAAAAAAGGTTCATAATCGCCATAATGGATGTCGTTCTTCACAGAGGTGAAAAGCTCTTCAAGAGTCGGATAGCGCCAATTTGAATCCACTGAGAAGCCACTCCGCAATGCAATAGTCTTCACAATCGGCCTCAGTTGCTCCTCTTGCATGCCGCCACCATTTTGGACATTGGCAATAGCCACAAGTTCCTTGAGTTCCTTAAGCATCACTTCCTTGTGCTGGTTTGCACGAATTTTATACTTCTTGCACAATGCCTGGATCTGGTGATACCTCAAATCACCAGCTAAGACCAACTGCTTGTCTTCATCAGACAAGACCTTCTGCTTGTTCGAACTTCGAAATTTAATAACCGGGGCACTTCTTCCATCACCCTCAGGTTTCACCAGCACCATATAAGCGTCCTGCATCGGTTAGGAGTTCAGTGCCAAACATAATCAAGATATTGCACCTACCTGGTTTAAATCTGACTGCAGTCTGGAGAAGACAGCCCGATCCATGGGCTTCCTCGACTTTGCCAAGGCCACTTGGATCATATGGTTCGGCGTTATACTGTCGACGATGGTGAAGTTCTGGTTCCTAGGCACCCAATAGTAACTTGTGTCCTTCCTCCACTCGGGGTCCACCGACACTGCCAAACCAGAAAAATACTTGATCTGACGAGTTCGCAACACCACATCAGATCCATCTTCCACGGCTTTGAACGTTCCCCCCTGTGCAAGCCGTTCATGAGCATAACGTTCAAACAAATTCTCAGCAGCGACTTTCAATGCCGGTTCACCCTCAGCAGCCAAGACAAAGGTCTCAAACCCCTTGAGCTCCGTGTAAGCGGCCACCTGAGCAATGCTTTGTGAAACCCACTGGGAGACAGGCCTGATTGACTGAATAGAAAAAAAATTCGCACTTGGCCACATTGCGAACACCTTATATGAATATTGTCCCTTGTCACTAGTGCCTGTCAAGTCCTGCACCTGAAGCACCCCTTTCCCAACCATCTGCTGTATATTCTTTAATATCTTCTGATATCCGGTCTCCAGGGGGCCCAAGAAGTACCACCTGGGTATAGGACCAAATAGTAGATTTCTCACACGAAACTCCATTCGAGGGTCTGAGAACCTTTTCTCCTCCAGATACTCGTACCGGTAGAAAAGATTTTCTAGTTCCTCAAAGGACCAAGGCGGCATGAAAAACAGGTGGAAGCGGCTCGAGGTTATGTTCTTCCAGGCTTCCACCCAGTTTTTTGGTTTGGGAGATGCAAAGATATACGTAATTCGCCCATAGTGACCAACAAACCTCTGATCAGTCAGTAGGATCTCCCCTTGCAGCGACCTGTTAAACCCGTTAAGAATCTGGTATGTCCCGTCTGGATAGAAAGCATAATAATCCACAGTTTTCTTCTTAACGAGCTCCACCTGGACGGTCTTCCCTTCCTTCAGTAGATTAACGAGCACGTAAACCAGAAAATGGGACTTGCCTATGCCGGGGCTGCCGGAGACGTGTACCACGCTACCGTGATCTTGGGTAACCTGGGTAACCTTGCTCATCATCTTTGTGTAAAATGGTTTCCACACCTGCCGAACATAATAGAATTCGTTACGGAAGACCACTGGGCAGAAGTGGAACATGTCACCCGCTTCTAAAGACGTCGGAAGCTCGTAGTTAGACATGGTTGCGTCTGCGAAGAGAAAAAAAACTGCTCAAAGCCGGAAAATAAGATGTGAAAAAGAAAAAACCAGCTAAATGCACAGTAACAAAAGAAAAGAGCCATTACACACACAACGATCTCGTCATCATAAGTAAACGCAACACACAAAAGACGCAGGGACGCCAACTACAGATCAACCAGATCGACATAGCCAGCCACGGCTCGCAGCAAAAGAAAAACCGATAAGAAAAAATAAGGGGATAGAAACGCCATAGCAAACATGACACAACGACATAGCTAGCCACGACACAACATCTCGTCAGCAAAACACAAAAGACGCAGGGACGCCCAACTACAGATCCAAAATGACCAACTACAACCGGGAAGACAACACCAGAGTACATGAAAGCAAAGAGAAAGACATACAAAGTACCAGCAAACCTCACAAAATCGTGGCTAATACAAAAAAATCCAGCACTAACACGAGGCCACGAACAAATGCCTCAGCACAATTCTGGGGCATACAGTGAGAATGACGAAGAAGGAAATTTGGGGCAAGCGGAAACAGATTGCTTACCAGATCCGCCAGTTCCGTGGGGTACTGCAAGCGAATCAAATGTCTCAGATCCGCATAGCATGATACGGGAAAAGGCTTACCATTAGATTTAAGTAGGAGGAGCTTCTCCTCCCGCAGCTGCTGCTTCTCCTCCCGCAGCTGGTGCTTCTTCTTCCACAGATACTGCCTCTCTACCGGATCTTGCTCGCTCGCCAGTTGTTTCTCCACTCCCTCGATTTTAGCTTCCACAGCCTTGATGGAACGCTCAACCTCCTGCAAAGGTGCCATGAACTTCTACTGAAAGAACTAGCCCTATTGGAGGGTAACATCTGACGGCTGCCGTTGCGCCGGGCCACGTGGCAAGTTTAAGGGTGGTGATTAAATATTTCCAGCCATCCCATCGTTGTTGTGATTTGCCTTGGTGGTAGTAATAATCTAGTCATTTGCCACTAGTTTCTATGGTTGTCTAGTGTGTTGGCTGTAGCTAAGAGATGCATAGTGGGAAGGGCAGTCCAAGTAATGCTGTTTTTAATTTCTCCCCTGTGACAGCAGACGGCCTTGCATGCATCGCTTTCACCCGCCTATAGCAAACTCGACTTCCCGCCTTTGATTTTCCATGAGCGATGCCGCGATCCAGCGGCCAGAGCGTGTCAACCTCTTCGCGAGCCAGCTGCGGCGATGTGGATCCATCGCCGAGGCAACGCTACTGCACCAGCAGATCGGCAGCAGCGGGTTTGGAGTGGGTCGCAGCACGTTTCTGGGAAATCTCATCGTCCAGATGTATGGCAGGCTCGGCGATCTCGATCGCGCGCGGGACGCGTTTGATAGCATCCGCGACAAGAACATCTTCTCCTGGACGCTCCTCTTCACGGCATTCGCCCAGCTGGGGTATCTGGCAGAGGCGCGAGCGATCTTCGATGCAATGCCGGGCAAGGACGTGGTGGCCTGGACGGCGATGCTCGCCGCCTATTCCCAGCACGGCTTCGTCGACCATGCCAAGGATCTCTTCGACAGAATCCCCGGTCGACGAGACACTGCTGCCTGGAATGCGATGATCGCTGCCTATGACCAGAATTGCCTCTTTCGCGAGGCGATATCCACCTATCGATCGATGCTTCAGGAGGGATCGAGACCAAATCAAACAACGATCGTGAGCGTGCTCGATGCGTGCGCTGGAATTGGCGACCTCGATCAGGGCATCGCTGTTCATGACCTGTGTGTGATCGCGGGCGTGGACCGAGAATCCACCGTGGGAGCTGCGCTTGTCAATATGTACGGAAAGTGTGGCCAGCTAGTTCCAGCCAGGGCCATCTTGGACAAAATGTACGAAAGGGATCTTCTTGCCTTGACAGCAATGCTCACAGCATATGCCCATTCTGGGCATCCGCACGACGCACTAAAGCTCTTTGTTACGATGGATCTGGAAGGCATCCAGTCCGATCACGTGGCATTCGTTGGCGCCCTCCACGCGTGCACGAGCATATCAGCTGTTGCGACCGGGAAAATCATCCACGAAGGGCTGAGATTCACCGCTGCCGCTAATTCCCCCAGCGTTGCCAACTCTCTTGTGGCGTTCTACGGCAAATGCGGGTACCTGGAAGATGCCAGGGGCATATTTGATGGGATATCCCGCAAAAGCTGTCTGACATGGAATACCATGCTTGGGATATATTCCAATAACGGCTTCTTTCAGCTGACTTTGGAGCTTTACCTCGAGATGTCACTGGATGGAGTTTTACCGGATGAGATAACTTTTGTGATTTTGCTATCGGCGTGTAGCCACGGAGGGATGATTCGTGATGGATGTTACCACTTTGCGTCGATCAAGGAAGAATTTTGTCAAATCCCCGTGAAAGAGCACTACATGTGTGTGCTCGATCTCTTGTCTCGCTCGGGGCAGCTCCAAGAGGCGGAAGATTTCTTTCTAGGCAGCGACATTGAGGTGGTGAGATCGTCATTTCTGATGGATATGAAGAACACGGCCTCGTGCTGGACAACTTTGCTTAGTGCTTCCAAAGTTCACGGGGATTCCGAGCGAGGAAAGAGAGCTGGGCACAATGCAGTGCTACTGGATAGATTTGCAAGCCGTGATGCTTCTGGGGTTTATATGCTACTCTCGGATATATATAATGCCAGAAATTGATTGATCAAAGTTTCTCTCAGTTCCCTGATCGCCTTGGAAGCCATCAAGTTTCTCCACCATGGACACGACAAATGCATCCTCCATGGGCGCTTTCAAAAAAGTGGCTGTTGTCATCCTTGGCCAGGCCAGCAGAATCTAGTTGACATCTCCATAGAAGTATGAAATAATTCACAATATCACATATACAGTCACATATGCACCTCCCAAGTGGGTTTATAGAGCATGTATTGTGCAGAAGCAGAATTTCATCCTGTGTTCCTAAAGCAAATGGTCATTACTTTTGCATTTGGTGTTATCCAATAAACTATAATAAAAGAGTAATATTTAAAAGTATTTAAAAAATCAAATTTTCTAATTATGATAAATTTATATGAAAATATTTACTAAATAATAACAAAACTATCAATATAATACCACATTAAATTTTAAATATATTAAATTTTTATAAAAATTAAAAATTACATTTTCTTTTATTTTTGTTATGAATGCTTGGAATATGGAAAGGGAATATAGAAAATGTGCATATTAATTAACCCAAAAACCCTAGCTTATATACATGAGCAAGTGGTTTGGATTGAAACCAATTCGACAGCTATCAAAATCCCACTATACTAATATTAGTATATGGCATCGTAGCCGTACACTTAGCCCTCACCTCATCCCCTCCTCTCGGAATAATGGAAGATCATTAAATTTCTCTTGTAGATGGGTTGGGATCTAAAGGAACGTCAGGAGGAGGCATTGGCGGATTTGTAGGGGGTATTAACTCCTCCTGATCCCTTTGGATGATGCGTTTCAGCCGCTGCACATGCACAATCTCTGAAGAATCGGCCTGCTAAACGTCATGCCGAACCTTATAAACTTGTGGTCCAACTTGTTGCAACACATGATACGGTCATTTCCACTGCGCAAGAAGCCCCTTAGATAAACCACATACCGTAAGATGGGGAAAACAGACTAATACTAAGTCATTTATTTTATATTCCGCAGGTGGACGATGATGGGAGTTGTAGCGCCGTTGTTGTCCCACTTATATGCAGACTATGTGTTCGATAGACTCTGCTCGGACAAGTGGAAGAATGCTTGTCAAATATTGATCCCATGACCTAGCATCGGCAGCTCGTGGCAATCGCGAAGGTAAACCCAACTCTATTGGTAATATTGGATCATGACCATATTGTTTATATGGTGAAGCACTAATAAAACTCTACACCTTTGTGATATATGCATACCAAAGAGACGGCAAATAACCATCCCAATCCGAATGCTGAAAGTTCACATACTTCACAATCATCCCTTTGAATGTTTGAACGAGCCGTTCCACTAGACCGTTTGATTGTGGATGATAAACATTGGTGAAAGTGTGGCATATCCCCAACCGAGCCGTCAAAACATAAAATGCCTCAACCATAAATGCAGAACCATTATTTGAAAGAATTCGCTCTGGACAAGAATACTAGAACACCACTCTATTGAGAAGGAAGTATCCAACAGCAGTTGCAAAGGCGTTAGCAAGAGCACTAACTTCCACTTAACAAGTCAAGTAGTTAGAAGCAATAAGAACATACTCATTGCTAGCAATCGACCGTGGAAAAGGTCCCATAAGATCAAATGCCACAAACTCAAATGGACGGGAAACTGCAATTGACTCTAACTGTCCTTCCGTGGCACGAGGGGGAGTATTACGAGCTTAGCACCAAACGCAACTACGTATATACTAGATAATATCACGTCGCATCTCCGGCTAACAGAAAGACCTGCATAGTTTCTCGGTTATACGACGATGTCCCATATGCCCACCTAAAACAAAAGAATCATGGTAGGCATGGAGAAACCGTGGAATAAAGATAGAAGGCACTACCAGCCGTAAATGATCATCAGAATCTGTCCCCATAAAATAAAGAAGGCCGTCTTCAAGGCGATATTGAGAATGTAAATGCCGAAAAGGCAAGTCATCAGCAAGTGATACAAGATTTTTAAACCTATCTCGAAGCCTTCGAATTCACGGCTCAATCTATTAAGCCTCGCGAACCTCATCAAAAGAAAGTAGATCTTGCTCTACGCCTTGTGGATACTGAATGTCAAGGACAGCAACCACCAATGGCACAGAATCCTCGTCTAGAAAATCCACAGATGTTGGAACAATAGGCTTGTCAAAAACATGAGAAGACAGTGGAAAAGGAAGAGGAGCTTGAGAAAGGGCATCAGCATCAGCCATAAAACTCCCTGGGCGATGAACAACATCAAAGTCATATATCTAAAACTTCAAAGCCCACTGAGCAGTATAACCAACTAAGTTCTTCTGCTTCAATAATAAAGTAACAGTAATATGGTCACCTTCAAGTAACGTCCGAGAACCATGTAGATATGCATGAAGTTTCTTGAAACCCCAGACTGCTGCTAAACACTCTTTCTCCATCGTGGAGTAGTTCATCTCCGTTGGTTGTAATGTACGGCTTATGTTTGGAATGGGATGGCACTGACTAGGCACACTCAAGCTCTCTTGCATCAACACACCTCCAAGACCAAAGTCAGAAGCATCCACGCGCAAAATAAACGTTGAGTGTAGTTAGGATATGCCAAAACCAGAGGAGTCGTCAATAGCTCTTTGAGATCCATGAATGCCCGCTCACAATCCAGAGACCAGATGAAAGATGATGTTGATGACTTCAACAACACTTGCAATGGTGCAGTGTGATCGGAAAGATGATCCACAAAAGGACTGAGATACTGCACCTTACCCAAGAAGCACTGCACATCATTCACACACTTCGGAGTAGGGAACTTTAGAACAGCCACAAGTTTGTTAGGATCAACTTGCAAACCCTCACGAGAAATACAGTACCCAAGATAAGTTGTGTCCTTGGACCCAAACACGCACTTTGACCGCTTCAGCTTTAAACCAACATCGTGTAGCTGATCCAATAGTTTACAAACATCACGAATGTGCTCCTCCCACGTCCCCTTCAAGTGGATCAAGACATCATCAATGAAGTCAACAGTTACCTCTGGCATATTGCAAAGAACCTCGTCCATCATCCGTTAGAAAGTTGCTGGAGCATTGTTCAAACTAAACAGCATCACCAAGAACTCGTACAAACCAAATAGTGTACGAAAAGCAGTTTTAGGAATATCGTTTTCAGCTTTCAGTACTTGCCAATACCCAAAAGCAAGATTTAGCTTGGTGAACCAACAACTTCGCCCCAGATGATCCAAGAGATCAGCAGTGTGAGGAAGAGAGTACACATCTGGGATCGTCACTTCATTTAACGGATGATAGTCGATGCAGAAATGAATACTCCCATCAGGCTTCGTCACAAGATGAGGTTCACATGCCCAAGGACTCTGCAATTTCCAAATAACACCCTTCTCCAACATCTCCTTGACGTTTGCATGTAAAATCTTGATCTCCTTGGGTGACCAACGATGAACAGGAACCTTGATTGGACGAGCATCCCCAGTTGGAATCGGATGACGTGTGGCAATCTTAGCCCTAGACGATAGGTCAAATTCAAAGAGATTAAAATACTCCTTCATAAGCCGGTTAACCACTACAACACAAAGATCGTCGGAGGGATTGGAAAAGGAAAAAGTAGAACAAGATGGAAACACAAAAGGAAATAGTGGGGGAACAAAAGTAATGGAAGCAGAGGTAGAAGTAAAGGGACGAAGTGGTACGGAAGTGAGAGGAATGGATGAAATATAAAGAAGTATGAGACAAGGGGGAGAATCCTTAAAGTCACACTTGGCATGATTGTGCAACAACTAATCCATATTGTAAGCTCCTGAGTTTGGACTTCCCGGGAGGTCACCCAGCCCAGTACTATTCAAACCCAAGGACGCTTAACCCCAAATATCCCAAGACCCTTAACCGATTGGAAAAGGGGGTGCACTCTTGTTCATGGGCCTTTTCCCTCTATATTTGAACCTCTATGGATCGTCTCTCGAGTCATTCCCTTTGGTTGCTTACAATCCACCACGCTTCCCTGCAAGTTCACGCCCTCATGAACAGAAGCTAAGAGCCGCAGCTCTCCCGAGAGCCTCGCTCTCTTGACACCCTACCCCTCGGGTCGAGCCCAGCGGGAGCAAACTGGACCAGCCAGATGTTAATCAACATGTGGTGTGATTTCCTTAGCCAACCAACAGAGTCAAACCCGAGACCGCTCTGATACCAAATGTAAGCTCCTGAGTTTGGACTTCCCGGGAGGTCACCCAGCCCAGTACTATTCAAACCCAAGGACGCTTAACCCCAAATATCCCAAGACCCTTAACCGATTGGAAAAGGGGGTGCACTCTTGTTCATGGGCCCTTTCCCTCTATATTTGAACCCCTATGGATCGTCTCTCGAGTCATTCCCTTTGGTTGCTTACACATACCAAGAATGAGGTTAAAAGCTTGACTCGGCACCACCTGCAATGACTGCAACTCAAGCTCGAGATCACCCACACACACAACCAGGTCCGCCTCATACCGTGCATATGCATGTGTATGGTCGTTGCTATAAAGAATGAAACTAGTTCCACCGCACGACGCAAGTGTAGACAACAATGTGTGGCAACAGGTCAAGCAATAGAAGATAAACTCGAACCTATATCAACCAACACGAAGAGAATAATAGGAGACATTTTGTTATAAAAACGAGCTTGGAAAGTAAACATTGGATGAACCGGTGCTGAGTGAACCCCTTGATGATACTCCCGAAAGAAAAATGGAGGGGTCACTGACTTATTCATGCAAGGTCCCTCTATTACTCGCTCAGCTCCTCATTTCCCAGATGCATCTCGATGTCCAGACCTTCCACTGCAGCAGCACCAACGGGACGTTGCTGACGCCAAGGTCTCCACCTAGGAAATGGAGGTTGCCAATCCGGAAAATGCCGACAATGCTAATAAGTATAACCAACTTCATCACATGCCTAGCAGCGAACATCATGGCCACGACCATGTCCTCGCGCTTGTCCTTGGACTCGAACAGCAGCAGCATCAACCTCCATTGGAACAAGACCATCACCCATAGGAAGTGGAGCGGAAGGACATGCAACGAGAAGTGGAAGAGGTGATATCTCATAACGTTATGCCAAGTGAAAAGCATCGTCAAGGGTGGCAGGAGCAAGTGTATGCACAAGTTCAACAAAATCTTGACGAAGTGCTGGCCACAACATTCCTAGCTTGATCTGCTCCGACATATTTGGCTCCGCACGAAGCAAAAGACTTTGGAAATGAATGCCAAATTGCATCACCGACTCAGATGGCCTTTGGTGAAGACGATGCAATTGTTGGAAAGCA